TATATATATATATATATATATTTATATATAATAATATGTACAAGGGTGCTCGATTTATTTCTGGGAGCTCGGCACTCTCGCGATCAAGTATATTGTGGTTCGCCGAGATCGATGGTCTCGACGTTCTTATTTTTTACTTCCATTCCAGTGTAAGGTTTGATCTTTTGTCCATTCACAACAAATAATTCACCGGTAGATGGGTTCTGAAGTCGAACTGCCCCGAAAGTTAGAACTTCGTCCATAAGAAACGGGCCACTCCACCGGGATTTGAGTTTTCCCAAAAATAGACGAAGTCGGGAATTAAAGAGGAGAACTTGCATACCCGGTACCAGCTCCTTCTGAACATTACGAGCGTCGTGAAGTCGTTTGACCTTGTCTTTGTAGATCTTAGAATTCTCATAAGCCTCATTCCTCAATTCTTCGAGTTCTGAGAGCTGCAACAATCTTTTGCTTCCAGCGGAATCCAGGTCAAAGTTCATCTTCTTAATTTCCCAAAATGCTTTGTGTTCGATCTCAACCTGGAGATGGCAAGCTTTTCCGTATACGACCTGAAAAGGACTCATTCCCAACACCCCTTTATACGCGGTCCGTTGAGCCCATAACGCATCGTCGAGGCGTCGGGACCAATTCTTCCACGACGAGTTCACCGTCTTCTTAACAATAGTCTTAATTTGCTTATTGCTTATCTTTGCTTGGTCAGATGTTTGTGGATGGTATGGGGTTGACACCTTGTGGGATATGGCGTACTTCTTCATCAATTTCTCGAATACTCGGTTGCAAAAGTGTTTGCCTCCGTCACTCACGATGGTCCGTGGGAAACCAAACCTACTCAAAATGCTACCTTGCAAAAACTTGATCACCACATTATCATTGCATGTCCTTGTGGGGATAGCCTTGACCCACTTGGACATATAATCAACGGCAAGTAAAATATACTCGAAACCAAAGGATTTAGGAAAGGGTCCCATAAATCGATGCCCCAAACATCAAATATTTCAACTTGTAAATTGTTAAATAAAGGCATTTCATTTCGAGAATCGAAATTTCCAACCCTTTGACATCGGTCGCAAGCTTTACAAAAGTTATGAGCTTCTCGAAAAATAGTAGGCCAAAACAAACCTGATTGGAGGATCTTAAAGGCGGTCTTTCGACCTCCAAAATGACCTCCACAATGAAACTTGTGGCAAAAAGCAAGAATGTCAGCCTGCTCCTCTTTGGGCACACATCTTCGCAGCACGTCGTCTTTTCCCATCTTGTGAAGGAACGGGTCATCCCAAAAATAGTTCCTGCATAACGCAACAAATCGTTTCCTCTCTTGGGAAGAAAGGTTAGCCAACGGAACACCATCGGATAAATAGTTCACTATGTCCGCATACCATGGATGATTAGATACTTCACTCAATTGCTCATATGGGAAGTCATCATAATACTAACATGCTCATGTAATGCAAGTGAAGAATCGGAAGGAATAATACGAGACAAGTGTTCCACTACAACATTTTCACATCCCTTTCTATCCCGAATTTCTACATCAAATTCTTGTAAAAGTAAAATCCACCGAATAAGTCTAGGTTTCGATTGAGTTTTGCTCAAAATATACCTAAGAGCCGCATGGTCGGAATGCACAATCACTTTAGATCCCAAAATGTAAGATCGAAATTTTTTAAGAGAGAAAATAACAGCAAGGAGCTCTTTTTCGGTAGTAGTATAATTCAATTGGGCACTGTTTTAAGTCAAGCTAGCATAATAAATTACACGGAGTAATTTATCAACTCGTTGACCTAAGACGGCTCCAACCGCAAGATTTGATGCATCGCACATAATTTCAAATGGTAAAGACCAATCCGGAGCAATCACAATAGGTGCGGTCACAAGCTTATTTTTCAATTTGTCGAAAGCATCTAAACATGCATCATCAAAAACAAACGGCACATCATTAGCAAGCAAGCGACACAATGGTTGGCTAATTTTTGAAAAATCTTTGATGAATCACGTATAAAAACCTTCATGACCCAAGAAACTTCTCACACCTTTCACATTTACGGGAGAGGGTAGTTTTTCAATCACGTCAACTTTTGCTTTATCGACTTCTATCCCCCGACTAGACACAACATGTCCTAGCACGACTCCACTTTTTACCATGAAGTGACTCTTTTCCCAACTCAAAGTCAAATTAGACTCAATGCATCATTCAAGAACACAATTTAAATTACGGAGACAATGAGAAAATGAATCACCAAAAATAGAAAAGTCATCCATGAATACCTGCAAGCAGTCTTCAAGCATATCTGAGAAGATAGAGAACATGCACCTCTGAAATGTTCCAGGTGCATTGCATAGGCCAAAGGGCATCTGTCTGAATGCGAAGGTGCCAAAGGGACATGTGAATGTCGTCTTGGGCTGATCCTCAGGTGCTATAGCCACTTGGTAGTAGCCAGAGAGTCCATCCAAGAAGCAGTAGAACTGATGGCCCGAAAGACGGTCAAGGATCTGGTCAATAAATGACAATGAGAAGTGGTTCTTCTTGGTCACAGCATTCAGTCGCCTATAGTCAATGCACATGCGCCACCCGGTAGTGATGCAGGCAGAGACCAACTCCTTCTTGTCATTCTCGATCACGGTTATGCCTCCCTTCTTTGGCACCACATGAATAGGACTAACCCACACACTACTTGCCACTTGATAGATCAATCCTTCAAAGAATAGCTTCAGCACCTCTTTTTTCACTATTTCCATCATATTCGGGTTTAGCCGTCGCTGGCTATCCCGAAACGGCTTGGATCCCTCCTCCAAGATAATCTGGTGCATGCATGTAGAGGGACTAATCCCCTTGATGTCTCCCAAACTCCACCCGATTGCCTTTTGATTATTCTAAAGTACCTCTAGTAGCTCTCTCTCTTCGTCCTTGGTAAGCTCGGCGAAAATGATTACCGGCTTTTGCTCTTTGTCATCAAGGAACACGTACTTGAGGTGGTGTTGTAATTCCTTGAGCTCGAAGGTGGGAATTGCTCTTGTGTGGGGCTGATCGGCTTCAAAGAGATCAATGGTCGGTTTGTTTTCATCGTCAAGGTCAGATAAGTTCCTTTCTTCAAACTCGCGTATGGTCGTATCCTCAACGAATGGACCGGTAACATCAATAAATGCACACTCCTCCATGAAGTTTACCGAAGATGCGGATGTGGCTTCCCAGATGGAGATGTATACGGACTTGCCCAAAACCGTCATATTGAGCGTCCCATTCTTCACGTCAATAAGAGTGTTGGTGGTGGTTATGAATGGTCTCCCAAGAAGGATGCTGTGATCCTTCCCATTCTCGTGTACTTCTCCCACATTAAGAATAACAAAATATACATGGACAATGAGCTTTCCCACACGTATAAGCACATCTTCCACCACCTCTTTGGGATATCGTATCGAGCTGTTGGCAAGTTGGAGGCACATACGGGTTGGTCTCAAGTCTCCGAGACCGAGCCGTTGAAATATTGAAAACGGAAAAAGGTTGATCCCAGCTCCGAGGTCAAGCATTCCCGAAGCTTCTTTTCCATTCCCAAGAGCTATTTTGATCACAAAACCCCTGGTATCACGTTCTTTTTTGGATAAGTCATGGTGCATTGTACTCGCTGCCTCGTACACCACGATCTTCTCGCCGTCTTCGAATTGCCTTTTCTTCGTCACCAAATCTTTGAAAAACTTTACGTAAGACGACATATTTTGTATTACGTCTGTTGATATCCGAGTTAGCCAGGAATGAGCCGGGGAGGCGTTGCCAACCGACTCGAGCCAAAAACCCGGTCTGATGAGAAAGTGCCGAGCTGGATCATGGATTAGAGGGGCGGGAAACCGTCCTGGGAACAGATTCTCAGCCCGGCTCCCGTCTCAGACCGGGGAGCTGCCGACCTGGATGGGTGCCGAACATGAAGAAGACTATTCGTAGTCTAAAGAGCATCTATGAACGAAGTGCCGACCTGAAAGTACGAGGGGGCCGACCAGGGACGACGCATGGGTTTCAATGAGCATTAAAATATTCCCACTTGGGAGGTCATCATTGGACGATGGGGTAGGTAATCATGGCCTAGACCCCTACCAGCCAACATGAGTCAGCAAGGCCATACAGCATTAAATGCACCCCATGCTGGCATTTAATGCTCGGCAGGCAATGATTGAAGAAACCTCAAATCGCATTAAATGCCCGTCAGACAGACGCCGAACTGCTCTGCCAAATTACTGTGCGACAAGACCAGCGAACAGTAGCTGAACAGTGCCTCATTAAAGACAACTATAAATAGCAGCTCACTTCATTTATTTTGGGGTTGTTGAATTCCAACTAACTCTTACCTTCTCTCTATTTTCTCTCTCTAAAAAACTGTAAGAAGCTCATTGTAAGAATTGTAAGTATATCGCAAGTGCCGACCTCGTACGAGAGGCCGACCTCGTGATCGTCTAATAAAACCGTAATTAAACCGGATTATTCTCCCCTTTTTCAGTCTTGCTTTCTATATCTTTTATTTTTAACCGTTGACCGAAAACGCTCGTCAACAACGTCGAGAAGTGGCAAGTTGACATTGACTTTCGAAAGCATGTTGTAAAGATCCCAGAATTGCTTTTCTTGCCTCTCGTTCTAAAGTCGGCTCGGAAAAGGGATACGTGATTTGAATGGATTCGAGGACCTGTATAAAATTGGACCTTCCACCGGCTTTCCAGAATTGGCCAGTGTACTCTCCTTGACATCATCTTCCTTCTCCTTGGGCTGGTCAGTTGACTTGAGTTCCTCCGTCTTGGGTATTTTTACTTGGTTATCTACAACTTTTCCGCTCCTCAATATGGTGATCGCCTTTGCTTGCTCGGGCTGGCTTGGGAGCTTCATCTCTTTGTCGGATTCCACCTCCAAATTTTCAACTCTCGAGGCGAGTTGGCCAATTTGCATCTCCATACGCTTGACGATCCATTCCTGGTTCGTCATAAATTGGAGGATTTTATCCAATTTGTCGTCTTGGTTGAGCGAGCTAGGACTGACCCCTTGGGTTTGCATCCCTCCCATAGGGCCCCTTTGCGGTTGTTGTTGTTGAGGGTAATTTGGTCCCATGTGTTGTTGAGGAATGAAGTTGGGACGGTTCTGTTGTTGCATGAAATTTTGTCGGGGTTGTTGGGTGTTGTTGTTGTTCGACCATGAGGAATTGGAATGATTTCTCCATCCCGGGTTATATGTGTTAGAGTAAGGGTCATTGATTGGTTGATTTGGGTATCCTTGGAGAGCGTTGGCGTCTGCATATGGCTCTCTGAAGTCTTGGTCAAAGGCAGATGGGCACACCTCAGATCGGTGCCCGTGGACTCCACATGTCCCGTACAGTTCTACCGCCATAGCTTGTACCGGTTGGATGCTTCTAGCATTAAGTAACCTCATCTGCTCTATGAGCTCGGCTATCTGATGAGCTATCATGTCCTTCCCGGGAGCTATCTCATGTACCCTCGCCTTCTTCCCTCGACTGCTCTTTTGAGACGAGTTAGCACTCATCATCTCAAAAATCTCCATCATCTCCTCGGCAGTCTTTGCCCCGATATCTCCACCGGCCGCGTTGTCCACCATGTACTGGAGGTTTTGGTGGAGAGAGTCGTAGAAGCTATTCATTAATAGAGCAGGTGGAAAGTTGTGATGTGGACACTGCCTTTGGAGATCCTTGAATTTTTCCCATGCCTCGTGTAGAGGCTCGTTTGGTTGTTGGGCGAAGGAAAAGATTTGGGACCAGAGTTCTTGAGTCTTCTGGTGAGAATAGTATCTCCTGAAGAATTTTGAATACACTTGCTTCCAAGTAGTTAGGGAATCAGGAGCAAGCGTCATGAACCAAGCTTTAGCCCGGTCATTGAGTGTTTCGGGAAAACACCTCATTTTTAGTTGATCTTCATTGAGCCCGTGGAGTGGAAATGTTTGAAGGACATTGTAGAAGTCCCGGATGAAATGGAGAGGATCTTCATTGAAGAGACCGTGAAAGGATGGAAGTTGATTGTCATGGATGGTCTTGAGCTCGTAGTTCCGAGTTGCCGGTCCTAATCGGATGCACGAAGTCACTGACCCAATTACTGGTTGGGCCAAATCGCGGAGAAGATTCCGCTGGGGGTTGTTTACTTCCTCTTCGCCGTTTCGGGCCATGCTGCTTAGGTTGTTTGAGTTTGATGGTTTGTTGTTCGAAATGAGTTCACGACCACTCCTAGTACGCATAAACAAAAACAACAACCCGTCACGAGCACCTGATACCAAAGAGAATAAATGACAAACACCCCAAAATACTAACAATTAGGATAAATGGTAAACACCCGTTACGAGCACGCGAGACTAACTTATAATTTTTTTTTATTTTTTTTTTAAAAACACCAAAAAGAAAAATAAAATAAAATAAAAAATAAAACAAGAGTAATGAAAAATAATAAAATCAAGAGAAACTCTAAAATTAAACAAATATCACAAAAGTAAGAGAATCACAGAAACAATAAATTACAAGAATAAGAGAAATACGAAAACAAAGTAAATAGACAAACGAAATAATTCCTAAACCTTCCCCGACAATGGCGCCAAATTTGTTGTAGCAAATTATATTTATTTACCGAGTACCGAATCAAAAGATTCGTTCCACAGGTCGATCTCTCGAGGAAGGTTAACCGGAATATTGAGTACGTATATTCAATTGAAAAGAGAAAATAAGTTCTAAACACTCTAATTCAAATTGCAGAATTTTGATTATTAACTAAATTTCTTTTTAAATAAATCTATTTACCAAATTAAATTACAAATTCAACAATGAGAAAGATGTTAGGGAATAGGGAATGAACTTGTTGAATAGTAATGCAATTATCGGCTCGTGATTGTTCGGTTAAAGAATTTGAGTCACCTACACGTTTAGAGATTCATGCTCAATACCTTTCGGATTATGAGAATAAATATAAACGGTAAATTAATGAATTGTTTAACACATAGACAATACCTTTCGGAACAAGTCTATTTTGTATGAGTCTTAATCGATCAATCCCTCCCCCTTCGGTTCAAAGAGTCGATTAAATAAACTAGAAAAGATTATCAGTCGTCTAGTTTATTCGGATCTTGATCGTCTCAATGGAATACAAAATATTCAAATATGAAAACAAGTTTAACATTGAAGTGTCACTCTCCAATACTTAGAAATCAATTAGCAAGGTTGAAATGTCACTTTTCAACAATATTTATTCCAACGTAAATATCAAAAACTAAATTAAGAATTAACTCACACAAAGTGAACAATTACCGACCACGATAATCACATACTAATTAAAAGGTTCATCCCTTATCCCTAGCAAGTGATTTAGTTACTCATAATCACAACACAAGATTCAACAAAAAATTCATATTCATAGCAAAATAAAAAAAACTTACAATTGATCAAAGTTGAGAAAGAAGTACAAACCAAACCGTAAGAAATACACACCAAATGAAATCGCCGAATGAAATCGTCTAGTACAAATTTATCCAAAATTCCTTCTCTTAAACACTACTTAAACAAGATTAAGTGTTTAGGAAGAGAAAGAAAGGAGAAGAATGTTGTGAAAATAAGAAAAATGAAGAATGAGAAGATGGTGAAGAGAGGTGGTATTTATAGTGTGAATGATGAATTAAAAAATTGAATTATGGAGCATTATGGCATAAATCAAGGTTAAGTTCTCCATGATCAACTCCATGATGAGTATTTTTACTCAAAAGTTGCATTATTTTCGGATTGGTGGAAGATAAGTGGAGAAAATGGGTCCAAGATGTTCATTTCCGAGCTCTCGCGCATTGAAAAACTGCACTACACGACTTTGCGATTTGGTCTTGTTTGAGCTCGTCCGAACTCGGAATTGAGTTCTGTTTTTTTTCTACGCGTAGCTAACGAACCCCTCTAGTAAGTTGAGTTTTCAAAATAGACCTTTTCTCATAATACCATCCTCTCGAGATTTTCAACCACCAAAGGATCAAAAACTTACTCGACTTTACGTTTTGGCCCCGTTCGGACTCACCCGAACTCGAAATCGAGTTCCGCTTTTTCTTACTTGTCGCCAACTAACTTATTTAGCTTATTGTTCTTGAATGGTTGAGTTCCAAGCTTAATCTAATCCTTACGAAGTTTTTGATCTGCACATTAAAAACAAGAAGAAAACGAGAAAAATACACGAAAAACACATAAAAACCAAAATAGATCAAAACACATAATAAATCATAAAAATGAATACAAACCAATAAAAATCCTAAAATGAGGAAAAACGAAGAACAAAAGAATTAGGAAAAATGCAAAAAAAATAGTCACAACACAGCTCGCTAGGTCGTCGCGAATCAGCCTTAGTGCGCTGACAGTCGTCGCATCGCGCGATGTAGTCTCGGGCCGTGCTCTGCTGCCCTGGCCAGAAGAAAGTGTTGACTATTTTCATCCACGTGCGATAGATACCCGAGTGTCCTCCAATCTTAGAGTCGTGGAAATGCTGCATGATTTTTTCACGTAGCTGCCCACCGTCTGGGACGAATACTCGGCCTCGGTGGAGTAGTTGGCCATTGTGCAGCTCGTAATCAGTAGCAGTCGCTTTTCCTGCTTCGATCCCTCGGCGCAATTCTTGACAACAAGGATCCTCCTCTTGCACCTTTCGAACCTCGTCCCAGACAGTCTAAGTTGGCCCGGTGATAGCGTTAAGCTCGGCTACATCTGTCCGTCGGGATAATTCGTCAGCCACGGCATTCTGTCGGCCCGACTGATAGACTATTTCAAAGTCGAATCCCATGAGTTTCGAGACAAACTTCTGCTGCTCAGATGTCACAATCCTCGGCTCAAGTAGATGCTTTAGCGGTTGTTGGTCGGTTACAATATGAAAATGTCCCCCCAACAGATAGGGCCTCCAACATCTCACAGCCTCGACAACTGCTAGCATCTCCTTAACGTACACAGATAATCCTAGTCGAGTTATGCCCAGTGCCTTGCTAAGATAGGCCAATGGTCGTCCTTCCTGCACTAGCACAACTCCTATTCTAATATTGTTTGCATTTGTATGTACTTCGAACAAAACATCGAACCTTGGCATGGCGAGTACTGGAGTGGTGGTCATCGCGCCCTTCAATTTTGCAAATGCTGCCTCGCTAGCCTCAGTCCACTTGAACCTGCTTTTTTTGGTCATTTCTGTTAGCGGCTTGGCGATAGTACCATAATCCTTCACAAACTTCCTGTAGTACCCTGTAAGCCCTAGGAATCCCCTTAGCTGCGTGAGACTCGTTTGTTTAGGCCAGTCGACCATAGCCTCAATTTTTCTCGGATTGACTTTCACGCCATTGTGAGATATAAAGTGACCTAGGTACTCAACCATCTCCTGCCCGAATGAACACTTGGATGGCTTGATGTGAAACGAATTAGCTTCCAAGACCTCAAACACCACTCTTAAATGCCCAAGATGTTCAGCCCACGACTTCGATTATACCAAAATATCATTAAAGAAAACTAAAACAAACTTACGTAGATACTCCTTGAAGATGGAATTCATAGCAAATTGAAAAGTCGATGGGGGCGTTGCACAATCCGAAGGGCATCACCAAATACTCGTAGTACCCTTGATGCGTACGAAAAGCTGTCTTCGGAATATCAACCTTGTGGAGTCGGATCTGATGATAACCAGCTCTCAGGTCGAGCTTTGAGAAGTAGCGTGATCCTGCCAACTCATCCAGCATGTTGTCGACACTAGGAATGGGAAACCTGTAACACCCCGCTTATCAGAGTAAATTTTTCGCAATTTCTTAATTTTGAAAGTACTTATTAAGTTTTCAAAATCTTCTTGACTTAGCTCGGATTGCTACTATAACTTAACTTCTTTAAAATCTGTCTTCTCAAAACTTGTGTAACAATATGTTAAAACATATTTTAATTATTGAACATATATGAAAACTAAACATTATAAATCTTTTAAATGTATAAATACTATCACATATGTTCAATATCTGAAAAACGTAGCGGAAATCTTATAAGCATGGTACAAACCGAAACCTTATTAAAAGTACATAATCTAATAAATGAACCAAATTCTCGATCCACACTACCGTAGCTGATCTCACACCTCTGCTCCGACCTTGTTACCTGAAAATGATAATAGTGGGGCGTGAGTACTAATCAACTGTACTCCGTAAAAACCCATACTAAAGTAAACAGCAATAATAATATCAATATCATGACCTTTGGTATGTATCTGAACTTAATTTATCGGTATCTGACCGATAACTCTAACTTGAACTTTGCAACTACCGGTAACTTGGGCCGGTTCTCACGTGATCACATTCTGGGGGTCGCCTCCCACAGAACCTAGTCTTGACTGGGCGAGCTTAATACTTTACTTAACTTTATACATACCTCGAACATGATAATAGCTATTATACTCAATGTAATACCCAGTCTGGGTCCCCTCATTTTCTTTTTGAAAACTTTTGAAAACTGTAAGTGCTGTACTGGTAGCTGTATCTCCAACTACATAAAAATATAAACAAATATACTAAGTACTATGCTCATACTATTCTCACACTACAACATAAATGACCTTAGGTAGCACGAACAACTGCAACGCCAATATTGTGTTACAAATTATTGGTTTAGGTATCATATTATTGTAACACTTTAATATAAGTATTACCAAAGACTAGCAAAAGTATCATGTAAGTGTTACCAAAAACTACCAAAAGTATTATCTTTGACTTTTAGGTAACACGAACAACTACAGCGCCAATATTGTGTTACTTATTGTCTATAGTAACATTTTATAGCTTTTATGTAACATTTTAAAACTTTTACGTATCATTTATTTGGTGCTACCTAAAGCTATTTATGTTGTAGTGTCAATATTGAGATTCTTAACTTTAACTGATAACTTATCCGAATCTTAAAGATACTCACTTAACTTGCTATAGCTCGAATGAACATATATTCATTGAATATCTTAAATTCTCAAACTTTTACGAAACTTAAATCATATGAATCATGATTTTGAAACTTAGATATTAATATAAACTCATATACCATGTAATCACAAATTTTCACATAAATACATGATTCAAACTCCTCTTAAACTTAAACATGATAACTTAAAATTCATCAAATCATATCTATTTACTATACTTGCAACAATTCATAGAATTATCTTCTTAAAAACTCAATCAAATACTTATAAAAATCATGTCTTTAAAATCTAATACATAACTTATAAATGAAAATTAACATAAACATAAACATATGCTTAACTTTTACATGATTCATAAACTA